TCACTCTATCTCTATCGCACACTATAACTCTATCTCTCTCGCACACAATCAGACAAAAACGACAGAAATGAACCTTCTTTTAAAAATACATGGGATTTATCATTATTAGAATAACCCATTTTAATTTAAAAAATTAAAAAAATTACAATGGGTTATTCTGATGACGAAAAATAAAACATGATTAACTGTATTATTCAAATAACAATAATGTGCAAAAGTTCTTCAGGAATATTGGCAAATTTACTTTGGAGGAAGAATCCTGTCAACGAACAATAAAAAATATTATTAGAAACCTTAGGTGGCCAGAAAACAGCCCCGATCTCATTGTCAGTCCTTTACACATATTTTTTTTTTACCTGAAAATTTACTAGTATTGAAAGAAAAATACAGGACGAAATGCTTGATAATTTTGAATTTGTTTTTGAAGCAATTAATAGTAAATTAAAACATATTTTATGCCAGCAAATTTTGATGTCAAATGAAATAAAGGAAGAGTCGTACATTTGTATTTAAAGTTTCTTTCTATCTTTAATTTATTAAACCTGTAAGTGGATGTCAAAATACAACCACCTTGTATATTAGTATATTAAATAAATTTATCGTCATCATCAAATATTAAAAAAATTAAATTACAAGCTGTTTAAAATATTATTACGAATTTTGTTTGTTTGGAAATATATTTTCTGCAGTATTTCAATATCAACAAATGAAAATAGTAGGTAAATTAACGAAATTATGATTAAATAACTTAATTGTAACATCGCTGCAGAATATCATATGAAACTACATAGATATTCGTTGATTCTTTAAAAACATTTCTATCAATATCTACATCATACATTTAAGTAAATACAGTAACGCAAAAAACAGATATTGATAAGAAAGTGTACAAAAGAAATCCGTAAGTACACCTGGCAACATTACCAAAGTCTTGTTTATATGTTGCTAGGATACAGGTAGGTATGCGGGCCGCTGCATTTGATTCTTCCTAAAATTCTGCTGGTGGTGTACTCTACCGGCAATTCGGAAATTTAAAACTGCCGGCCTATTCCAGTAGCGGTCTGTGGCGATAGCTATTTTGTCTGTGGCAATAATAACGATAAACACGCACCAAATCAAACAGAAAAATTTAAACATCTTTTTGAATATTTTTAAGCATAGAGTCTACGTTAGTAAAACTTCTGTGTTTATTTTGCTGTGTTAAATATCAGATATATACATCCTGTATACTTTGTTTTCTAGCATTTCCTTAGATACATGTATTCAAAGCGCAATTTACATATCTTTCTTACAAGATGTCAGGCGGATGTGATATGTATGATTTGTATATTAAAGGCGCCCCGTTCTACCATTCACAACGACAATTTTGTCCACTTTAAGATTTCTCCTTTCGGAATGTCTTCGTCTTTTTAACAAAATTTCGTGAATATCTGCCTCTCAAATAGTGCATGCTTTCAGATTTCATATTATCATTGCATTTTCAGAGACGCACAATAGTCTGCTCTCTGAATGTAGTGAATGTACTGTAAGATAACAGAATTTTATATCTTGACGTTTTATAGAATTTATTTTAGCAAACTTTCACATTTTACAAATTATACATCTGCTTTAATTTCACTGTAGGGTGGAGATACTATGCAGACGGAGGATGGAGGCTGAAACTTAACACCAAACAAGTCAATATTAAACTTATCAACTATATTGGGTGTTCCTAGTTGCACACGTCAAACTTTATTTAGTGACAGAACAGCTCATAATAAGAAAAAAAGTTCATATGGAGATAGCGTAGAACATTTCGTTTTCCCTTCAATGCTCAGCTCAAGCGTATCAATTGTAGTGAATAGAGATCTTCCGTGATAAACTACACTCAGCTCAGCCCACCAAATGCAGAGCAGAGGCTTGGAATAATGGATATTCGACTTTGCCGATGATGTTGACGTATGGCAGGGCTTATCCATTTTTCATCATCAGTTACGATACGATACAAAAAACCTTTTCTATTCTGCCGTTGAAGCAGCTGTTCATACGTGCAGCCGTTCGATGTCTCTCGGCTTCAACTCGTACAGCACCCAATATCCTTGCTTTTGAATCATTCTTAATGCATTCAAACGTTTCGAACCTGTTCAACGCCTAATGATTTTACAAGTTCAACTAACGTCTGACATGAGTTTTCACGAAGTAATGCCTCCTTTTCTTCATCTTCAAACTGAGAGCGTTTCTTCAACATAAAATCATTATTTTCGGAACGTCTAAATCAATCGCTGCATGTTGTTTGCGATAGAGCAAGAATATTGTGTGCTTCAGCTGCATATTTCTTTTTGAATAAAGTAGTGCAGTCTTTTTTTTGGCACGAAAGTCGACACTGAATAAAAGTAGTTTACACTTCGGCCAAATAACATACATCGAATTTCAAGCTTGCTTATAGTAATTCTTTATAGGTGTGTAATCATCTTAAACTGCATGTTTGCAGTTCTGGTAACGCCATCTGTT